AACCCTAACCCTAACCCTAAACCCTAACCCCTAACCCCTTTGACCTTTGACCCCGACCTTTGACACCCCTGACCTTTAGACCTTTGACCTCTGCCTCCCAGCGATTTACCTCCTTGCAACAAGCAACAAGAAGAAACAGCCCATTTCAGCTTCAGCACAGCCTAATTAGCACAAGTTGATTGGATCCGCAGCCCGACTCTCAGCTGTTTTGCCTGGCCTCTGCTGCTTGCTGCAAAGAGGTAAATGGCTGGGAACAATTTTTTTTTTTGTGCTACTCAAGCTATGTTAAAAATAAAAATGAAAGTAAAGCAGCCTATTTTGCTGTAACGAGGCAAAATTGCTGAGAGGCAGAGGCAGATTTCTTTTTCTTGTTTTCCTCACCAAAAAAGGGAGTGCATCTTAGAGTCCAGAGCATCTTATACTCCAAAAAATCACAGTATATGCCGTTCGTCTCCTTGATAAGACGACTGTCTTATCAGGGAGACTGTAGCAGGCTACAGGCAATCTTCTCCGCAGCGTAAGAACAGAAGGATGCGTTGAATTTGACACCACCGATTTCCCTAACGAAGCCTCTGCAACAACACTTGCCCGCAAAAACCCCAGATTACAAGACTGGGCTGTTCATCTTAGAAAAAGAGCCACGTGCTGAGGTGCAGACGTGAAGGGGAGGATGCCGTTCTCCCCCTCAAAACAGCAGTCCTAACGGATTAGGACAGGCCAAACAAAGTCTTTCCTCAAGAAATTAGCGTTAATGTACAGAATCTGCTTCCGTGGGGACGAGGTGATGGCCACCGACCTCAATGGACTGAAAGGGGGGACGATGGAGGGGACTGTTTGTCATGAGGCTACGTGCTGCCTGGGGCGATGAGGGCTAGATGCTTGAGCTGAAGGAGGCTTTCCTGTCCTACTTCTTGGGCTTTCAACCGGTCCAATGGAAAGCAAAATCCGAGCGGGCTTTAACTGAGTAAGAGGGTCAAGACTGACGTTGGAGATTCGGAGGGCAAAGGAGCCCGGGGGGCCTAGCGGAAGAGGTGGTGGAGGACGGAGGCGGTCCCTCTGACTAGGGACGGGTGCAGGCAGGAGAATGGGACCGAGGGGCCGGTCCTTGGAAGTGGATGGCTGCAACCGGTAAGAGAATGGGGTTCCCGCGCTATTGAATATTTCAATTTACTGAGAAGAAACAGCTACGGTATCTTATATAAGCCTTAAGCAGGTGATGGGTCCAGCTGAAAAATCTACATGGACAAAAATGTGTAAACTGCAAAATACAGGTATAATTTTATTTACGGTTTAATATAGTATTAACAATGATAGGCAATCTGGCCTGACTATTTGCACTGAAATAGGAACAACTCCTTCTCTCAAAGTATATCCCCAAAGGACAGCTATCAGGGAGATATGCCGGTACTGCTCTGTCCCTCGTGATCGCTTTAGAGGTGCGATTGGCCTCTGCCTTGAAAGATCCTGGATCCCGGGGTCTCCCCGGTTGCTGTGTCACAGCTGGATACGCACGGATTGGTGCGTGAAGGGCCACGTCTTCCTGGGATGGCGTGGAGTACTTGTACTGCTTGCCACAGAATTCACAGGTATAGTTGCCTGGTTCTACAAAGTAAGAAAACAATTTTCAGAAGGAGAAAAGGTTTTCCCAAAAACCCTTGACCCAAACGTGGATCTCAATTCAGAGCGTAGCAGGCTAGACGTTTCCCACGTGACCTCGTGAGATGAGTTCCAAGTTTTCTTGACCGAGGGGGCCCTGGGCGCCCACCTTCGTGTTAACTGTTTCCTCTGTTTTGCCCCAGCTCTCTTTCCTGGAGAGAGGCTAAAAAGACACGGCTGCTACAGAGGCTAGACTTTCTTTTGCAGAAGGAGCGTTTGGGAGTGGGCTGTATAAACCGTCGCAGACAGCAAAGGCCAAGTCGCGCTCTCATCAGCGCTTACGAGGGGTAGTTATCATCTCAGATCGAGATCGATTTCTAGTTTTAATATCGCTCCCCATCCTCAATTTCACCCTATTCGCGAAGAAAACATGGTAACGTAACAAGGAATGCGGCAGCAATCAAATTAAAACACTGCAAAATTGTAATGGACTTTTTTTTATCCCAGAGGACAAAACTTAGACGATATCTTCCCCTTTAATGAAGAGCTCTTGGTGAATTCTAAAATTAAGTCATGAGACACGCAAGTGGAATGTTTTTCCTAGGTCTGAATATAATTATTAAAATAAATAATGTGCGCTTAATTCCTTCTCTTTGCAATAAAGTATTTACATCTAAATACTTTGGCCAAATTGGATTGTTTTAACCAGATGCTTATAAAAGTATGTAACGTTAAGCGAGAATAATTTTATAATTCCCCGACTCAACCGTGTTTGTTTCTTCTCTATGTCAAACGTGGAAGATTAATTTTTTGGTTTACTTAGGAGTGCTATTTGCAAGCAGGTTGCTTGTCTCCTGACGGATGGCCGCAGTCCAAGTTCGAGCTGTTGCTTTGCTTGCAAAAGGTCCAGGTTCACCCCTGCGTTTCCAGGGAAGGGCTGGGAAAAACCCCTCTGCTTGAACGGATGTTCAGAGCCCTGCAGCCAGTCAGTGCCGATAGTCGTGGGACAGATGGACCGACGAGCAGACCTGATACCGAGCGGATTTCGGGCATCCTGGGAGTTATTCTGCCTGCTACGCCTTGGAAAACCTAGCGGTTGCTATCGGTGCTCCTTAAACAACCGGTGAAAGATACATCCAAGGAAGATTTTACGACTTGTCACCAGCCGTGCCGAGAGGAATGGAGTCCGGGTCCCGCACGGGCAAAGAATGTGCTCTTTCTGTTGGACTAGTGAGAGCTTCCTGCCTTTGCGAGAAACGCTCCATCCCTGGCTTGGGCCTGAAACCTCAGCTCTGAAACACTGAAAACTGGTTAATGACTTAAGTTGCAAACTCGGTCAATCGTACCTGGACCGATCTTCTGAAAGGGCTGGGGCTCCTCTTCTTTCACCTCCTCCTTGGCAATCGTTGCTTGGTCGTAGGGGTCTGCGAGAGGAGAGAAGGAGGAGAGAGCTGATCGGGGTGTGTGGAAACGCCTCCCTGGCTTTATCCCTCGGGCCCTGCTCTCATCCTTAGTCTTAAATAGACTAACATACATTTCACACCTGCATGGTATTTTTACTGATTATATTTTTCTTGATAATCTCCCTATTAAAGTGACTAATAATAAGATGCGTGTTTCCAATTCGGGATATAAAATTTGCACTTATGATTTCTTTTTAAAGTGTGACAACTTGATTGCAAAAAACTGCAGTCGTTCTTAACAAGAGTCAGAATACTTCCAAAAAGCAACACGACCGGCCTACCTCTACCAAGAGGCCCCGAGACTCTCCTATCCACCAAACAGGCGCTCTTTCTCCCGACGGAGTGGATTAATCTCTGCACACACCCACGGGTGCTTCAAACTGCAACACGGCAGGGCTTCCGGCTCCATTCTCCATCCGTTGAGCATTCGCCCGAATGCTCCTCGGTCAAAAACTTCCTAAAGTGTTGGAATCGTTGAGCCAGAAGTTTCTATTGGCTGAAACTTTATTGCCAAAAGTTGTATGATATTATGTCTCTAAACTAGCTGGGTATATGTAGATAAAAACACACACAACAACAACAACATGCTAATGGTTTCCCTTGGGTTTTGATTTTTTGCATCACCCAATGGTGTCAACGGCCCTGCACAAAAGCTCCCCTCCCCAGCTTCTTTCCATAAAATGCAGGCCGGGGTTACCTGCGAAGAGCTCTAAGCGATAACTAAAGGTCCTGAGAACGGGTGCCGGAGCCTGCAGGCTTGCCTGCCCCGTGCCTCCTTTCCCTTCCCTTGGGAGGAGATGGGAAGCTCTAGTCCCGTGATGGTGAACTTGTGGCATGCGGAGCCATATTGGTGGGCATGCGAGTGTTGCCCTAGCTCAACTCCAGCGGGCATGCATATGCTGGCCAACTGATTCCGGTCCCACCGGAAGTCAGGAAACGAGACGAAACGAAACGAAACCCTAACCCTAAACCCTAAACCCTAAACCCTAAACCCTAAAGGATTGAACTGGAAAGGGAAACAACAGGAGAGAGGGGAAGGGAAAACAGAGGACAGGAGAGAACAGGAGAAAGAAGAAAGGGGAAAGGAGAGGAAGAAAAGGGAGGGGAAAGAGGAGTAGAGGAGTGGGGGAAGGGGAAGTAGGAAAGAGAAGGAGAGGAAGAACAAAGGAAGAACGAAGGAAGTAGGAGGAGAGGAAGGAAAAGAAGGGGAGAAGAAAAGTTGGAATGGTAAAGGGTAAAAGAGCAGCCCTGAAAACCTGCTATTCCCTCTTGGACCACTGGATGGCAATGTTTTCTCAAGGGTTGCGGAACTGGCACGGAAGAATAACTTCAATATGTACGGATAACAATCTTAAAATGTCATCGAAAAGGTTTCTTTCTTTTTGTGGCTGCGATACCTGCTTGGACCACAGGATGGCATAATTTTCTGCACCTTAGCGATAACTTTGAAGTCATGGCACGGAAAACTGTGCCCTCGTGTGGCCAAAACAGGTACTACGGCTGCAAAAAGAAATAAACCTTTTCGTTGGCATTTTAAGATTCTTCTGTACCAGGTCCGCAACCCTGGACAAAACAGTGCCCTCCTGTGGTCCAAGAAGGAAGAGCAGCCACACAAAAAAAAAAAAAAAACCTTTTTAATAGCATTTAAAGATTATTATTCTGTATAACAGGCAAAAAGAAAGAATCTTGCTTCAAAAGCCTTCACCTGAGGTCAAAAGGTCTACAACGGCCTCCACGCTAACGTTGACAGGAAACAGCGCCATCGTGCGGTCTAAGCAGGGATCGCAGCAACCAAAAGAAAAACTTTTTAAATGGAGTTGTAGGGTTGTTATGCTATTCCTTCTTGGACCACAGGAGGGCACTGTTTTCTCCAGGGTTGCGGAAGGTTGATTTCTTTTTGTGGCTGCGATACCTGCTTTGACCACAGGAGGGCACAATTTTCTGCACGTTAGCAATAACTTTGAAGTCATGGGACGGAAAACGGTGCCCTCGTGTGGCCAGAACAGGTATCGCAGCCGCAAAAACAAATAAACCTTTTCGATGGTATTTTAGGATTCTTCTGTGCCCGTTCCGCAACCCTGGACAAAACAGTGCCCTCCTGTGGTCCAAGAAGGAATAGCATAACAACCCTAAAACTCCATTTAAAAAGTTCCTTTCTTTTGGTTGCTGCGATCCCTGCCTGGACCGCACGATGGCGCTGTTTTCTGTCAACGTTAGCGTGGAGGCCGTTGTAGACCTTTTGACCACAGGTTAAGGCTTTTGAAGAAAGATTCTTTCTTTTTGCCTGTTATGTAGCTCCTGGGCCTCCCGTTGCTCTATTAATATTAATAAGGCTTTTAATAATAAAGAGACAGAATAATAATCTTTAAATGCTAGTAAAAAGGGTTTTTTTGTGGCTGCTATATCTGCTTGGGCCACAGGAGGGCACTGTTTTCTGTCCCTTAGCGATAGCTTTGAAGCTGTCGAGATATTACTTTATCGTGGTGGTAGGCTGTGTGGAGAACCCTAACCCTAACCCAAACCCAAACCCCCAAACCCTAACCCCCAAACCCAATTCTGTTGATTTCCTGCTCTGGCCTAGGGAACTGGGCTGATGGTGGGGCCTGCGGTTTAAGAGATCCAGTTTTCTTCTAATTTCATTAAAGTACTGGAGTCCAAATTGCAAACTTCCTGGGAGCTTCGGGATTCTCTCGAAGAGGACTCAAAACCTGCCTAAGCCATTCCTCTGTTGGGAAGGTTGCTCAAGGCAGCTGACCCAGAGGAGAATGGCACAAGAAGCCCATAATTAAGAAAAGGGTGCAGATATAAATAGCCTTTTCTTAATCAGCAGAAATCATGAAGATCAAGTGGGATGAAACCGTACTGACAGATATAAGCTCAATAATTGGATTTTGAAAGACATTGGTTTCTTTAGGATTCTGCAAGATAACTTGCATAATTATGCCAGATGCCATATTTAATCACGCCATGAACTTCATCCCTCCCTTACTCTTCTATTTCTCTAACGAACACATGGGTGGGTGGGACTGTCCTACTTGAAAACAACCTACACACCTGATGGAGTATAAACTAGCGAGATTAAGCCGTAAGAAGACTTCAACTTCCCTGGTACCGAAACAGCCTGGTCTCTGCCTTCCCATGGAGGCGGAGGTGACCTTAAGCCAAGCGCTGTGGACGCTGGCGCTTCAATTCAGCGCCTCGGTCGCACTTTTACTCCTCGGTTGGACCTTTTACTATGACTTCACCAGGACGCAAATCCCACCGGGAATCACCCAGGGGGCGAAACTGCGCCTGATGAATTTGGCCATGAGCCTTGTTCTCAGACTGGTAAGCTTCCTTCCCTGGACCCTCTTTTTGCTTTCTGTGGTTCTGCCTGGCCGGCACAGGCCTCAGCTGGGGGAGCCTGAGTGTCTGAAGGGGCATTTGCAGAACTTGTAGGAAATCTGGTGTGTGTGTTTGTGTGTGTGTGTGCCAAAAACAATTGGTTTCTGCCAATTGCCTGGAACCCACCTCCCCTTTGCCGCTTTCTCTTTCTGATCTGGTTGTTGACCTGCAATGATGCCTTCCCCGCCTCGAGCGCAGGAATCCCACTAATGCCTCCCACCCACCCCTCCCTCCCTTCGCAGCCACATCAAATCTCTGGGGTGAGCCGTTGGCCCCCTTCTTTGAAAAGCAGGCACAGTTGCCTGTGTGCGGGTTAAATGCTTCCCATGTCCCAAAATGTCTACAGGCTTGGACGGCACATGAATTGCCAAATATTCCTTCTGCCGTTTTATCACTTTCATTCTGTTTCGGGGGGGGGGATGACTTTGAAAGTTCTTTCTAAGGAAGAAGCAGCAAAAGCTGATGGGTTCATGGGTTATGGATGGATTTATTTCTTATGTTTTCCACTGAACAGGCCCTGATTCTGGAGAAACTTGGTGTCTGCCACAAATACATCATATGGAGGCAACTCATGAACGGGATCCCCCCGGGGAGAGCACCTGACCTGACCATCAAGGAGATGCTTTTTGAGGCGGTCCCAGTGAGGGTCTATTGGCCCAGGACAGCAGGTGTCGAGCCCAGGCGAGGACTGGTCTGGATTCACGGTGGAGTGGGCTTCTTTGGCAGCCTCCGTAAGTCCTGCAAACAATTCAGTTGCAAGAGGCACAGACGGATGTTTGAGCTTAGTGGTTCATTCTTCTGCAGCATCCAAGGACCACAGGGGGAAAACTGAGTGCGCTCAGAGAGAAACCTACAAATTGTGAGTGGGAGAAATGGGATGTTCTTACCCAAGAGCCGATGCAACCAATTCCTTGTGATATTTCAGGAGCTTACGAAAGGTTCTGCCGCTTCATCGCCTGGGAAAGCACCACGGTGGTCGTGTGCATCAGGTAAGTGGGCTCAGGTTGGCTGCGTCACATGACTGTACCTCCCCCCCCATTCCTGGGCAGTGGTCCCATCCTGTGCACGGGAGGCCCTTCGGGTGGCTAATTAACCCCTTGCCGCCAGAGCAGTTTTTGAGGGTGGGGAACCTATAATAAATCAAGAAGGAAAAAATATAAAGACCTGCAAACAAAAATAAAATGACTCTGGCAAAAGAAATCAAATACATTACCAACTGCCATAGGCCCCTTGGGTGCAATCCCAGAGGAACTGGAGCACCCCTTGAACGCCATCGGCATTGACAAAATCACCTTCGGTCGATTGCAAAACTCAACATGAAACAGATGACATCTTCACAAAGATACCTTTAAAACCATCAAACGATATTTGCCTGTCCCAGGTCCTTAGAGAGGACACGATGGGTGGATAAAAAGGCAAAATCCAGGCTAAATATCTGGGTGATTATGCAATGAATCAACAACAACAAGAGGAATAACAGGGATGCCAATGCGTTAGTAAGCTTCTTTTTTTTTTTTTTGGCTTCTTTGTTGCTGTAGATTCCCCTTGGCACCGGAGCACCCCTACCCAGCTCAGCAACTCAGCTGCTACGCTGCCGTGTCGCACTTTCTGAAGAATGCGGGGGACTATGGGGTGGACCCCCAGCGGGTTGTGCTGGCTGGCGACAGCAGCGGAGCTGGCATCATTGCTGCCATTTCCCAGCAGCTGGTGATGAGAACTGACCTGCCGCGTGCCCGGGGCCATGTGCTGCTCTACCCTTTTCTCCAAGCTCTGGATTTCAATCTGCCTTCCTATCAGCGGAACCACTCCGTTCCCATATTATTTAAGAAACGGGTTATCCGTCTTGGCATGCTTTATCTTACGGGAAGGAATGTCAATGTTGATGAAATTATGGGCAATGCCCACGTTCCCCAGGAACTCAGGGCAAAGTACCGGAAATGGATCAGCGCAGAACTCATTCCGGAGGAGTTCAAAGTCTCGCCTCACGAGCCGTTCGTACCCAGTCCGTTTTCAGAAGATCTTTACCAAGTTTGCAAAAGAGTATTTGAACCCACGTTTTCCCCGCTCCTGATGGAAGATGTCATCCTACGACGGTTTCCGGAGACTTTCCTTCTAACTTGCGAATACGACATTTTCCGAGACGATGGTCTGCTGTACAAGAAACGGCTGGAAGATAACGGGGTGCCTGTCACCTGGTGTCACCTGAAGGATGGATTCCACGGGATCTGCCTGCTGACCGGTTTGGGGCCCCTGGAGTTTCCCAGTACGAGGAAGAGCACGAAAAGCATAATCCAGTTCCTAGAGCGGTTCTAGAAATCCATCAGCCTCATTCCTCTGCTTTGTTCTTCCTCACCTTGCCCCACAGATGTTGGCCCTGTGAGTTCACCCGGTTGTCCTGCTTACCTGACAGCCCACCAACCCTCGCCCTCGCCCTCCCTTTCATAGCCCACCAGTCAGGTAGCCTGGTGTCAGCGCTGGGGGTTGTGTCATGACACATAATGGGCTTTCCCCATTCAAAGGAAAGAGGACCTCCCCAGTGGGAAGTTGAAGGGGCAGAGGGGTACTGTGGACGGGAGAGTGCCGGATGCCGAATGGTGGCAGTCTCTGTCTCTTTATAGACAGAGACTGCAGTCTGCGGGAGTATCCATCTTTTGGAAAACCTAGTGTGGCTCTTTCAGTCAATCTCTATTCCCACAGGTAGAGAAAACAAACAAAAAAAGGATTTGCTCCTAAAAAAGGCTCTAGAGGCCTTTCATGCCAGTCTCCTACACCTATCGGCATTCGTTCTGTCACCTGGCAGGACCTCGCCTTCAACCGTGCCTCCCGCACACTCTGCCTCCGAAGAGACCTTTCTCCCCGGCAAAAGTGTTGCGCAAAAGTCTGAGTAGACCTGTCCTGGTAGACGCTGCTTCCCTCTCGCCTCTCTCCTGCCCCCTCCTCTTCCCTCGCCTTCGTCTTGCGAAACAGGTTCACCCTGTTTGCTGAGCCTCTAGACCGGCTTCGTGTATACCTTCCGAGCTTCAGTAAACATGCAAACCACCAGCCCTGGTCTTCTCCTTTCATTTCTGCCCCCAGCCAAAGGCAAAGGGGGAAAGGGCAGGGGGGGGGGGCAGAGGTGTGCAAGTGGCAAGGCCATGCTGACAGGAGAAGGTGCCTGAGGAGATGCCTTGTGCAAGAAGGGCAGGGACCGGCAGGCTCCTTTGGTGGGTGGGCAGAAGACATGACAATGCCTTGGGGGGAGAGATCCCTCCAGAGGGCCCCAAGTGGGCAGGCCCTGTCCTGGGCCCCTCTGCCCCTGGGGGCAATGGCTGCCCGCAGGGGAGAAGAGGAGGAGTGAGTAAAGAAGACCCACCTTAGACCACAACCCCCAGCCTGAAGGAGACCAAAGACCCACCGATTCCATCCGCCAGCCGAGAGAGCGCCCAGGACGGGAGGGGGCACACAGAGTCCCTCAGGCAGAGTGACCGAGCGGCTTGACTTCGTTTGGAGCCAAGCAGCCATTTCGCTCCTAGTGTTGCCCAGAGCAGTTTTCAATCCATGGGACTTTCACCAGAATGACATCCTGAGTTTTCTTTAGGTTTAGGTGTCCCTATTCCATGTGTGTGTGTGAGAGAGAGAGAGAGAGAGATCGCGTGCACGCGTGCTCACTAAATGTGACTCCAGGAAGCGTACAACAATAAAAATGGAATATAACAGTCCCCGTAAAAACAACCAGGAATGGTGATGGGGAGGGGCATCATGCACCACGCCATGCCGGATCAGCTCACCTCCGCCCTGGGCCAAGTCCCGAGGGAACACCTGGGTGGACCTTCAAGACCATCTTAAGGGGCCCCAAAGGCGTCGGGGCTGCCAGAGGGCAGGTGCCATAACACTGAAGGGTTTTTCCCCCCCTTCACCCCGGTAGGAGACACTCTTCGGAGGGAGCAGTGGTGAAATCCAATTTTTTTTTACTACAGGTTCTGTGGGCGTGGCTTGGTGGGTGGGGTGTGGCTTGATGGGCGGGGCAGGGAAGGATATTGCAAAATCTCCATTCCCTCTCCACTCTGGGGCCAGTCAGAGGGGGTATTTGCTGGTTCTCTGAACGACTCAAAATTTCCACTACCGGTTCTCCAGAATCTGTCAGAACCTGCTGGATTTCACCCCTTGGAGGGAGGCACTGCAGCATCCCTCTCTGGGGGAGCCAGAAGCCTAAGGGGATGGGTGGGCCTGCCATGTAGGGCTTGCCAGAGATCCCCAGCACCTGGAGCTGCATCCAGAAGATGTGGCGGCAGCCCACAGAATGAAAGCATCCCACATGTGGCCTTCAAGGGCAGCCCCACGTTAAGTGCATGGCCAAGGAAGAGGTAAGTCAGGTATAAGGGTTTTTTACTACAGGTTCTGTGGATGTGGCTTGGTGGGCATGGCATGGCTTGGTGGGTGTGACTTGATGGGCAGGGCAAGGGAAGGAGACTGCAAAATCCCCATTTCCTCCCGATCAGCTGGGACTCGGAAGGCAGAGAATAGATGGGGGTGGGGCCAGACTGAGGTGGTATTTTCCAGTTCTCTGAACTACTCAAAATTTCCGCTACTGGTTCTCCAGAACTGGTCAGAACCTGCTGAAACCACCTCTACTCCAGGCAATGTCTGCGTTTCTCTTGAGGGCCCCAAATACATCTCCATGGGATAACTGGGGAACGCTCCCCATTCCCAGGGGGCCCAATGAGGTTCCTCAAACCAGGTTTGCTTGGTGGGGCTGGTTGGGACAAAGCGCTCCCTCTCCTGAGCCCTGGGTCTCCCCTCTCCTGGCCCTCGATGCCTCCCCTTCCCCTTCCAGCCTCCTCTTCCTTCTAGCTCCTCTTCAAGAAGTGTCTGGCTGGCCAAAGGGAAGGACGCCGGGCCCCTCTCCCTGCAAGTGGCTCTGACTGTCCCGGAAGCTCTTGCGCAGAGATGCCTGAAGGAGAACTTTCCCAAGAGACCCGGAAGTGCCTGCTGCGAAGCATAAATTGGCTTACGGACTGGATCGGGACCAGAGGCCTGGAAGCAGAAACCTAAAAAGACGTGAGCTACACTAACCTGCTTTTTACTGGTATCTGCACTGACATTTTTATTGTGTTACAGTCCTAGATACGTACCTAAGACATAAGCGGCCAGTGGGCTTGGGCAGGGCAACCTTACTGATGGGATTCACATATATGCCTACTGGAGTATATATACTAAGGAGTGGAATAAAAGACAGCGTATTTCTCTCCCCAATGGATCCCCTTTCCAAGAAAAGGGCCTTAAGATCCTCCAGCCACTGTTCTATTTGTGCCAAAACCTTTGATTTCGGTAAATCAATGTATAGCCAATTTTCTGTTACGAAATGTCGTTCGCAGAAGCTCACCTAGGGCAGAACCTGCCTTTGTAGCCCATAATTAAGGGATATAAACAGATAAACGCTCTAATTTAATCTGCAGGGTGATCATCCAGTAGAACAAGGCTGACGTTGGCCCGTGGGATCATTAAGACGAGAAGGATTTCGAAGGAGTTCTGTTTGTTAGGAGTTTGCAACATGAATTACATAAACGTGCCAAGTGCACAATTAAAATCCTGAAAGAAAGGGCATCGAGCTGTGCTCGTCTCCCGTTGTTTAAAAGAACTGTGTGAAAACGCAGCCTGCCCAGATCGAGGCCGAAGGAGATCTTTGGCCAGATACTTGACCTTCCCGTGGAGATGGAGATGACCTTAAGCCAAGCGCTGTGGATGCTAGTGCTTCACTTCACCGCCTCAGTCACACTTTTACTCCTCGGCTGGACCCTCTACTATGACTTCACCAGGACGCAAATCCCGCCCGGAATCACCCAGGGGGCGAAACTGCGCCTTATCAATTTGATCATGAATCTTTTCCTCAAACTGGTAAGCCTCCTTCCCCGGACTCGGGCTTTCCTCCCCGTGAGTCTGCCTGGCCACCATCGGCCTCGACTGGGTGCTCCCGAGAGTCCAAAGCAGGGGTGATATTCAGCAGGTTCTGACAGGTTCTAGAGAACCGGGAGTGGAAATTTTGAGCAGTTCGGAGAACCGGCAAATACCACCTCTGGCTGGCCCCAGAGTAGGGTGGGAATGGAGATTTTGCAATTTCCTTCCCCCAGGAGTGGGAAGGGAATGGGGATTTTGCAATATCCTTCCCCCAGGAGTGGGGAGGGAATGGGGATTTTGCAATATATTTCCCCCAGGAGTGGAGTGGGAATGGAGATTTTGCAGTATCCTTCCCCTGACACGCCCACAGAACCGGTAGTAAAAAAAATTGAATTTCACCACTGGAACTCCAATGGGGCAATTTGCAGCATTTGTAGAAAATCAGGAAGGGTTTTGCAGATTGCCTGGAACCCAGGCAATCTTTGCCACTTTCTTGCTCTCATCCGATGCTGCCTTCCCCACCTCCAGCCAGGAATCCCAACCATGCCTGCTTGCTTGCCTCCCTCCTTCCCTGCTGGGTGTTCCTTTGCAGCAGCCCCCCCTGGAGAGCTCCTCTTGGCAGGGCCTCCTTGGGTCTCCAAAGGGCTGGGATCAGTGCAGAGCCCCGAGGGAGACTGCCCGTCCACAGATCCCTGGACTGCTGCTTGGAAACATTTCCCCCGTGCCCCATTTTTTTTTTTTTAATTTGATTTATATGCCGCCCTTCTCCGGAGACTCAGGGCGGCTTACAATGCGTTAAGCGATAGCCTTCATACTTTTGTATATTTATACAAAGTCAGCTTGTTGCCCCCACTGGGTCCTCATTTCATCTACCTTAGAAAGGATGGAAGGCTGAGTCAACCTTGAGCCTTGGAGAGATTCGAACCAGCAGTAAATTGCAGACAGCTGTGTTAATAACAGGGTGCGTAGACCACTGTACTATCAAGGCTCTATCATTTCCTTGGTATTGGGTGTCCTTGTGTCTTTTTCCCAACTGAAGAACACAATCGTGCCCTGCTGGATTGGACCCTGTAGTCTGCTTTTGCAGTGGCCAAACAACCGCCCAGGCGTATCTCAGCAGATGGCCTTTGCAAGCAATTACCGTTAAGGCCACGGTGACCAATATTTATGACTGCTGGCTGGCTTGGATGCAAATCTGCATGGTGTCCGAGGAAACACTGCAGATAGTTGGCAAAGCTATTGTAAGGTGAGTTTCAGCAGGTTCTGACCAGTTCTGGAGAACCAGTAGCGGAAATTTTGAGTAGTTCGGAGAACCGGTAGTAAAAATTCTGACTGGCCCCCGCCCCCATCTATTCTCTGCCTCCCGAGTCCCAGCTGATCAGGAGGAAATGGGGATTTTGCAGTAACCTTCCCCTGGATTGGGGCGGGAATTGAGATTTTACAGTATCCTTCCCCTGCCACGCCCATCAAGCCATGCCCACCAAGCCATGCCATGCCACGCCCACCAAGCCACACCCACAGAACTGGTAGTAAACATTTTGAAACCCCACCACTGTGCGAAGTAAGCCCAATACAAAATATCCATGTAATTGGAAGTGCCAAAGAAATCTGATTAAAGGCAGGGTCCCAAGTTGTGTAATTAGTCCATTCGGTTTGGGTGCCCACAATACTATTCAATGGGACAGTTTGAAACTGTGGGGCAAAGTTAATTTGCCCAACCCCAAGACCTTCTGAATCTTCCAAGCTATTCGGTGCGTCTGATAGGATCCTTCCATTTGCTTCCGTGCTTGGATTTGGGGATCTTATTGAATCAAATCCTTATGTGGTG